TTTTTTTTTTTTTTTTTTTTTTTTTTTTTTTTTTTTTTTTTCTCTATTGACATTGTGCCTCTCATTCTGTCTGTCTTACGCCCTGGGATTCTGTGGGTTTTTCAATAATTATTCACGCCAACCACATCGTCCTTTCTGTCTTCAGCGAGAGTGACCGTTATCGACACTGCGCGGTGTCTTGAGTTTCAACGTCGTTGGTCTCCGACTTCGCCGATATCCGCCCACTAAGATTTGGCAGCGATTTGCTCCGGTAAGATCTAAAAATCTGGCCAAGCAAATCACGACGAGGGGCAGCTTCCACAGCTGTCCCGATCTGTCCACGCTACAGATATCATCCCTGCCGCAACCGCCGAACGGCGCGAACGACGATCCGTCCGGCATTGAGGGGGAACTTGTTACTGCACCACCATCCCGCTCTACATCGCCCGACGCCTTCAGCCTCCGCTCCGGACCCCGAAAGCTTGTGTCGACTAAGAAGCGGGTCTCAAGAAAGGCGCGCGGCGTCCTGGGCAAGGTTCGGGCCTTCCAAAGGATAGCTGCGGCCAAAATGGCTCATCCCACCATCAAGATCGACACAAACGTCCAAGCGACCAAGCGCTCCCTTCCCGAGGACAATGATGAAGGCTTCGAGGTCTTGGACGGCCCTGATCAGGATGGCCCGGGTCTGGAGGCTGGCGATACTGACTCCGTCCCACCTTTTCTCTGCCAGTCCGTCCTAGGTTGGTTCACTCCTGTTCCCACTACTCCGCATGTTCGGTGGTCATGTTGCAGTAGGGCTAATCAGATGACCGTTTCGTTTTCCAGAGATCCATCAAAAATTCGAGGACCTAGAGTGGATACAGCGGACACGTCTCGCAGAAGGTATGCTCGCCAACGACCCCTCCCATCGTTGGGCACTGGAGGCCGATCCAGAGGTCAAGGCAAGGAACCGATATATGAATGTGCAGGCGTGGGCAAATTGTCGTATCCATCTTCGCGTAAACGATGGCGAGTGTGATTTCATCAATGCCTCGCCGATTACTCTGAGGGATTCTGTGTCCCAGGAGGAGAGAAGGTATATTGCGACGCAGGTGAGCATGCCGCGTGCTGGTAAAGAAGTGTGCTTTCTAACCACTCACTTCCAGGGACCGAAAGCAGGAAATATATCCCACTTCTGGCACATGGTATTCCATGAAACGAAGGAAGTGGGGGTCATCGTTATGCTTACTCAAACATTTGAGTCTGGACGAGAAAAATGCTCTCAGTATTTTCCTCTCAATAGCGATAATTCCTTGATCCTACTGCGGGAAGACGAACGTGACCCATTTGTGAACAACGAGAACCACCCCATCGGAGATGAAAACGTCGTGGGCACGGTTGCGCTGCTAGAGACCACTTTTGACGAGAAGTCTCGTTCCGAAATCCGCAAGCTGCGACTCACTTGGGGTGCCGAATCGAAGATCGTTTGGCATTTCCTCTTTGCTGGTTGGGCGGACTATTCCAAGCCTGAAGGCGACGACCGCAGCGCACTTCTTCATTTGATTGAGCAAACGGGCTCCAAGAGCTCCTGGGATAATCCACGTATTGTGCACTGTAGTGCTGGTGTCGGCCGAACAGGCACTTTCATTGCCCTCGATCATCTCCTATTGGAGCTTCAATCTGACCAATGGTTGCAAGTCACTGACCCAGAGGTTGACCCAGTCTTTGAAACGGTCAACCAAATGCGCGAACAGAGAATGATGATGGTTTACAATGAGATGCAGCTGCAGTTTATCTACGAGGTCTTGCGAGAACAAATCGATCGGAAGCTTGGGAAGGTCCCTGAAGTGAACGGGCGAAAGTCCGATGAGCGATCTTCGAAAATGGCCAAGTTATCTACCGAGTCCTACTACCTGCCTTCCTCGAAACCAGAGCTGGAGCCTGTCTCGGATCGTGCCTCCACACCAACCAGAAGCTGGTCGGGAACCCCAGAAGTCTCCGACCACGAATAAATGGTTTTCTCGCTCCTGTTTTCATTGCGTCGCATTGCAGGCAAATCACTAGGCTACGGCAGGGCCCCTTTTCACTGTTATACATATATATATATAGTTCTCTTAATAGCTTTCTCATCTGTTTCCCAAGTTGCAGCATTCACGACGAACCATGAGTTCCTGACTTGCATTCGAGTTCACGCCTTTTTTTTTTTTTTTTTTTTTTTTTTTTTTTTTTTTTTTTTTTTTTTTTTTTTTTTTTTTTTTTTTTTTTGCACTTTATTGCATAACCTTTTGCCATGTTTGAATATTCATTTTACGACACTCATGTCCTCATGTGTTTGCTAGAGTCTTGTGTGGGAGCATGACGGCCACTGTTTATGGTTCAGTTCCACGTTACACGGTACTGAGAGTCCTATACGAAATGCTTCAAGCTCTGTTTCACTATTTTCATTCTTCACTGTATAAATTTACCAGACTGTACGGTTATAGCATGAAGACTGGTGTAGGGGTAAGATAATAGGATTTGCTTTCAGCGATAGTCTGCTCCGTATGCTAGAAAGCGTAAAGCTTTTGACATTATTTACAACGCCGGAAGTCCCTGATAAAAAGAACACGCCAGAAAGTCGAGCCTTAATGTATGAAGATGGACCGCAAATCCCACAAAATGAGATAATCAAGTTCAAGATCGTAAAGAGTGTTATATCCTGCAAATTAATCGTCAAACAAGCTGAGCAACATAGCAATAACGAGTTGGGATATTGCTTGAAGGAGGGCGTAAAACATGATGGATAAATCGGTAGAACAGATCAGTCATGAGGGATAGGGTAAGGATACGGTGACATTGGTAAGGATGGCAATGGCGTAAGGGTTGGTCTCCACTGTAGCAACGACCAGGTATGTTTTATGGCGATTGGGTTTAGATCCCAGTGTAAATCAAATCAGTCACTTCGTTTCTTCCCCTCTCCTTTGTCCCCATTGGCGGCAGGCGGGGAGGATTTTGAGCCCTCCCCGACCAAACCAGAGGGCTCGTTCGCACCGTCGTCCGAATCCCAGTTATCGACGGCATTCTCATCCCAATTGTCGACCTCACGCTCCAGGTTCGTGACCCCCGATTCCTGGGGCTCTAAACCCTCCTGCTCATGGTCGGTCTCACCATGACCGGGGCCGACGCCGAGCTCAACGTCATCTGTGGCGTCTCCAAGAGCTCCGAAACGGGCTTTGCGCCGTCTTTCCAGCATCCGCCGGTGGTACCAACTGCACAGGCCGACTGCGCCGAGACTGCCCACTATGTTGGCGAGGAGGTCGAACGGGTCGAACGAGCGACCATTGGGGAGGATCCCTTGGACAATCTCGGAGCCAATTCCCAGAATGGCGGTGCAGACAATTAAGGTCAATTGTAGCATGCGTCGGCGGGTGGTGTCGGGAATCCAGTAGAAGATGAGAGACAGCAGGAAGAACGTCACGACATGGAGAAACTTGTCATTGGGTTGTAGTTGCGATGGAACGCTTGGAGATGCACTGTGGGGGAGAAGACCGATATAAGCAGCCAAGAGCAAGAGGAAGACGAAGGCGCCTGCGGAGGTTCGGATAAGTCAGTGACTGACGATGTAGGACGAATGTCTATGATGGTTTCCTGGGAGGGGAAGAGGAAGCTGCGAAACTGGTCAATAGAGGTAACATACCCGCGAAAGGATAGCGGATCCGCATGATGATTGTGTGGTGGTCAGGGAAGCGTGCGGAGAGAAGTTGTGGTCGAGAAAGAGTAGCGATAATGATTCCGGGTGCGTCATGTGCTTTAACTGAGAGAACATCAGATCGGATGGGGAATCAGATATCAGAACACCTGCAACAATGAAAAAAAGTACCTTCTCGTGATTCATTGTCACCACCATCCAATCTCGAGTCCACCGGATGTGGGGAGTTCACCAACTAAGATACTAAATTATACACCACTATATACTACGCATTTCCATCCCAATATAATTATACCGGATAAGAAAACCGTTGATCACTCTCTAGAGAACTGCGCGGTTGGTCTGAAGGCTGCGGCAACCGTTCCGCCTTCACGGGATCGACTTCACTTCATCCGTTCGCGCAGAGAACCTCGTACAGAAGCCGTTCACTTCCCCATCAAAATCTCCGCCCGTCCCATCGTTTTTGGGTCGGAGATTATCTCCTTCCTCTTCTCTGCACCTCCTAGTTTGTCTCTATGTTTTTTCCCGTCACTCCAGCCGCCTTGTTGCTGCCTCTCCGCACCTGAATTTAACCGTGGAGAAACGAGCCCCCTCGCCCGCCCCAGAACCGGGGTCTTGGAGCGAGCATGTCGCTCGGACACCACCACACATGGTTGCCGCCAGGACATCTTCGGCCTCCCGATGATCATCACGATTCGCGGTCAATCAATGGCTACTCGAAATCATTTTCCGGCCCCAGGACGCCCCAAATGCGCGCCTCGGTCGACGCTGATGGGTCTCACGCGGGTAATCTGATATCGGAGGCTGATATGGCAGCCGAGGAAGACCCACGCATTGCCATATTTCGCGATCTATACAGACGCAGTGAGGCGAAAATAAATAACCTATTTGCTGGCCAGAAAAATGTGGTGGACCTCGTCGGCGCTGCCGTCGCGGACGCTGATGAGCCCGACACCAAGAATGAGCGCGCTGATGAACCCGCACCTCCTCCGGTCCCCGCTAAGAAACCCGCGAGGAAGCTGGATGATGATGATTACGATGACTATGACGACGATGATGATGATGATGCTCCATCGCCGCCAAAGCCTAAACCGCTCACCCCTTCCCAGGAATCTAGTGCTCCTCCTCCCTTAAGTCGCTATACGAGTGGCACGACATCGGCAGGCGGTGATGTCTCGAAAGAGACGAAGAAAGAGACGCTGGAAGATATCCGGAAGAAGTTGGAGGAAGACAAGAAGGCAACTGAGGAAGCTGCCAAGAGAAGCTTCCATACCATCTTCTATACACTAGAAAATGACCGAGATGCTATGCTGGATCAACAACGTCTAGAAGAGTCTGAACGGCAAGTTGAAGCTGAAATGTCGAGCCAAGCCAATGCTGGCAACAATGCGACTTCAACTTCAAATGGTTACGGCTCGTTGAGCAATGCTAACCTTGGCGCGTCGAGCCTAACGTTGAAGAATCTTATTGCGAGAATCGACATGAAGCGGACAATGGTGCAAGCCTCTGATGCGGAGCTTCGGAGTTTGATGAGCGAGGTACGGAAGAATCGCAGCAAATGGGCCAGTGAGGATAAAATCGGCCAGGAAGAGCTATACGAAGCCGCGGAGAAAGTCCTTAGCGAACTCAAAGCGATGACAGAGCATTCAAGTGCCTTTCTGACTCGTGTGAATAAACGAGATGCGCCGGATTATTACACAAGTACGATATACCCTTGATTCGAAGTCACGCCTGTGCTAATTCATTTAACAGTCATCAAGCATCCCATGGACTTGGGAACAATGACCAAGAAGCTGAAAGCACTGCAGTATAAGTCAAAGCAAGAGTTTGTTGATGACATCAATCTGATCTGGTCGAACTGTTTCAAATATAACACAAATCCGGACCATTTTCTGCGCAAGCATGCCTTGTACATGAAAAAGGAGACGGAGAAGCTTGTTCCTCTTATTCCAGAGATTGTAATCAGAGATCGTGCTGAAGTTGAAGCAGAGGAGCGTAGACTTCAGCTCGCGGAGCTTGACGGTGCAGAAGAGAGTGACGATGAGCCTATCATGTCCTCCAGAGGTAGGAAAGCTCCTGGTAAATCGTCCAAGAAGGGTGCTGCTCCAGCTCGAAATACCCCTAGCGGATCTGAGCCTCCTGCATCTTCCCAGCCACCAGCACCTGCACGCGCGGACTCCGATGTTCCTGCCGATGGCACCCAAAACGGTTTCGCGACACCACCACCCGGGACACAGACACCCTCAGACCCTGCTGGCGTCGCGGCTGGTGTCTCCGGAAGTCATGGTGATTCTATGGACATTGATGGATTAGCGCCCCCGACTAATGCACTCAGTGCTTTATCAGCACCGGGCGCGGAAGCTGAGGATCCTGAGTACAAGGTTTGGAAGCAAGTCACGAAAAAAGACAGAGCTCTTATTGCTGCAGAAAGGCATCGCTTGTTTAAAGGTGATAAGCTAAACTCGGACGAACCGGCTCTACTGCGCACCAAAGCTGGTATGCGAAGGTGGCTGAGGAATCAAAAACAGGTTAATGCGGAAGGTGATAAGTCCAACGAGCAAAATGCACAAGCCATGGAGCCTGGCCCGGCTGGGGAATCTCTTGCTGAAGGGATTGAGGTCGAAGAGGATAAAGTGATTCCTGATTATTACGATGTTATGTCAGGTGTTCCTGATCTGCCTGGGCAACTGCTTTGGAGGGAAGACTCTGATGGCAATATCGTGGATGCTTCAGAGGAGTTTCTAAGGATCTTGCCGAAGGGAACATTCACCCAGCCCGAGAGCAAACTTTCCCGCAAGATGGATGCGAATATGCGGCAAATGCAAGAGACTCGAAAGATTTGCTCCAAGATTGGCATTGTCAAGCAGATGCAGTTGCAATCTCAGGTATGTTTTGCTCGCTCCTGTAAGGGCTGATCAATATCCTAATTTGAATTGTAGATGTACCAGAACCAATTCCAGAAATACCAGCCGGAACCATTTGTTGAGCACGATGTTCCTCCTCATGTGATGAATGATGAAGGGCCTGTCGTTTCTCCATGGGTTTGCAAGGCAGCTTTGCAGCGCTCCGTTGCAAAGATATTCTACCATACTGGATTTGAGGAGTACCAACCGTCAGCTCTTGACGCTGTCACTGATATCGCTTCTGATTTTTTTCAGAAGATAGGAGAAACCTTCAAGTCTTATATTGAGGCACCCAAAGTTCCTACCAGCGATTCAACGGATATTATGCCTTCAAGCAATCAGTGGAAGAAGGCATACACTGAACCGGAAATTGTGCTTCACACGCTGAACTCTGTCGGCATCGGTGTTGAGGATATTGAGTCTTATATCAAAGACGATGTGGAACGACTTGGAACGAAGCTAGCGACTGTCCATGACCGCTTGAGGTCTTTGCTATCTGAGCTTCTGCGGCCTGCCCTTGCCGATGGAGGTGAAGATGGTTCCAGTGCATTTGCAGATGGCAGTGAACAGTTCGTTGGCGGTGACTTCGCTGAAGACATTGACGAAGATTTCTTCGGGTTCAAGGAGCTCGGTTTGGATAAGGAATTCGGCTTGGCTACTCTCAGTGTCCCGCTTCACCTGCTTCAGAATAGGATGTACAACGCTGCTCAGTCCCAGAATACAAGGTATGGTAGACCACTTCCGGATGCATTATTGATACTCACTGTTTTTTAGTTCCACCCAAACCATAACCCTCTTCCCACCGCCCCCTCCATACCCACGGATCACATCGGAGACGTTACCGGCACAAATTGGATTGGTCCAAGGGTTTTTTGGTGCCAAGTTGCAAGCGAACAACACCGAGGGTCTGATTGAAGATCTCGAACTACCACCGAAACAAAGACCAATGGCTGCTAAACCCCGTCTTCCAGCCTCTGGCAAGATCCAGCCACCCTCAGCCCCGACCGGGCCGACTTCCAGCCCCCAAAAGCGGCCACTCCCTCCAACAGCTCCTGGTCAGCAACCAAACGCTGTCAAGCCTGGGCCCTCAGAACCCAGTAAGAAGAAGGTCAAGAAGAACAGTGGCGTGGCCCTGGAAATTCCTGGATCAGTTGCCGACGGAGACGAAGCTGCAGCGAATCTGGATGGCACTAAGACTACCGATGACCCAACATCGACAAACTTGGATTCCAAGGACTCTGCTGAGGTCTCGGGGGGTCCCGTGACCGAATCTAGCAACGTTAAGAACGGACTAGATAACTCCATGTCAGACGTTACTGCTGCTGGTGAAGGCGCCGGTCCTGCCGGTGATGCCAACGGCGATCCAAACAAAAGCCACAACAGCACGGCTCCGTTGACAAACGGTACAGCGGGTGATACATCATGATGTTATACGAAACATACCGAACCCGTCGCGTTGCAGGCCAAAGTGGTGCTTGTATAGCCTTTCCACTACCCTATACCTTTGGATGACTCTATCTCTCTCTTCCAGCTTCCAGGGTCCTAATACCCTTTCTGTTAAATTTATTTCCGCATCATATTTCGCTTTCAGTGTTTTTCTAAAGTGCATGAATACCCGGCATTTCTGGTTGGCCAGGTGAAGCCATTTCTTGGGCATGAAATAGACAACAACTCACATCCGAACACCGGGGGAACGCTAGCGATGAGAATTCGATATTCTGGTTTTCTGGCAGCAGCGTTCGCTTCCGTTTTCCATCCTTTCTCTCCATTATTCTGCATTAGGGACCGGGACATTGAAACAAAAAAGAAAACAGGTGATTATATGGAATGGCGCAGCATGGCATGATTTAAGGAGGGAATAAACAGCACAGCAACTCACCCATTCTTTGTACCAGCTGGTTCTAATCCTTGACTATTCTATTTTATCCTTCTTTGACTTCGAGACAAAGGGTGCACCCCAGAGCAGCCAACCAGCCCGGACCAAATTGTTCACATCTGGGTGTCTTTCCTTGTCTCTTTTTACTGTACTTTGGTGACTCCTCTTCTTCTATACCATGTACTCGTATGCTAATATAAGCGTGCGCAGTGTTTCTTTCCCTCTTCGTTTGGATTTCATTTCTTCTTCCTCCCTTATCACTCCTTTCTCTCGTTTTGCTTGCTCGTTCATGCCATGTCTCCACTTTTCACTTGCTGTTCTGTTCTACTGGTCCGTTCATCATCGATGTATTATCCGATTTTCTGCTCTGCTACTCTAAACAGAGATCAATACTCGTATATAACATGTCATCTGACCTAAAGACCTTAACAATCCAGTACCTGGCTAAGCTGCAGTTTAAAGTCAAGTGCTGTTGTCAGTCGACTATCTTACCTATTGGTGTGACGCACTCGATTCCGTTTTCGTTATTTCATGGCACCGAATACTTAGAAATACGATGATGATTTTATCTACTCCCATACGCCTCGTGGGCGTTTGGTGCTGAAGCACGTAGCAAAGCAAGTTGAGATGAGATTGTGAAAGCCTAAAGATATTCCTTAGGTACATACTGAATCTCTCGTCGCAACAACTGCATCCTCCAGACCCATCCGCCTTTGCTAAAGGCAGTCAGTTCCTTTGGCTCAGCTGTCGCTGACTCGAGCCTCTAAATGCATGACCATGACTAGTGGAAAATCCTGATAACATGAGCCAACGCAGCAAGCAAAGCTGAAGGAGCGGAGATAACCCAGTCCATATGCCAGACGTGGCTGGGGAAACGTAGTGAAGTGGTGAAAATAAATTTGCCGCTTTGCGTAATATTCAAGTATCCATATAGCCAGCACCTAGATGTACCAAACTGCAAAGGGCAGTCTATTTGGAGTACCGTGAATTGGCAAGAGCCTCGGGTCCACCGGCTTATCCTTGGGCTTAGGGTTCGTCATTGGAACTTCGCGTCCGCTTCGCGGACCAGAACTGGCAGGCACATCCTCATGATGACGAGCGCGGGCCGCAATAAGGTGTGCATAGTAAACTGCCGGGACTATAATTGCTCATATTAGTCACGAACTCTTATACAATAAAAAGAAGGGTGCGTACACAATGAAACCGAGGTAGTAGACCGCATGTACTGATAACAATGATCATAGATCATGTTCTCCAACTGATGTGCTTTGTGCCCAATTTGGTCCAAAATAACATGATAGTGGACGGGCCTTGAGGTCCCTTGAAGTGCAATGTGGGAGTATAGGAAAAAGTCCCAGTCATGCGGGCTAGTAACGTCCTTCTCAATGAGAAGTCCTGGCAGAGGATTGCCGTTTTTGTCGGCCGCATTGCGATCATTCGGTTTAGGGAATGCTCGGATATGGTGGCGCTTATTCGCGATGATAACTGTAAACTTTCCCTTCCATTTATCTTGGGTTAATTTCATGAAGATAGACTTCATGTCCAAGACTTCTTGCTTGAGAATCTTCTCTCTCTCCCCCTCTGAGACGCCATCGCGGAAGTAATAAACGTTGTCGGGAGCGCGTCCTTGACCAACAGTAGACATCCACTCTCGCACAAGTGGAGTGAGCATGTGCTCCATATTTGCACGAGCGATAATTTCCACTCGGTCACCATTCGTCTCACAGGCACCCCAGTAGCGTCCACCAAAAGTATCCATGCAGACGGATACAGCGGCCATCGAAGGCGACCAAACGCCTATGGTAGGATGCGTGACATCCGCACCAATGATCATCGACATTGGCTTGAGGTTGGCATCATTGACTTTTGGTATGATGCGAGCAGTGGTACCCCCGAGCTTTGCATTGACTTTCATCAAAACGTTCGAGATATACTGCGGGTTCGCCTTAGCCACATGGGCAGACTGCAAGACCTGGGAAGGCACACCCCAACGGCAGTCACAGGATTTCTTAATCCGGAGGTATGTGAACGAGTTCTTGTCTGGGACAATAATCAACAGGAGCTGGGGCTCCCTTTGGAATTTGTTGCCGGTTGAGTTGAAAAGTCTCTTTATCGCCTCGCCGGTGTCCTCTTTCAATTCAGCAATTAAGGGGCGTTGGGTAATGTTGCCTCCATGGCCAGCATAGGTCTTCATGAAACCGTCAACAAAGTGCTCCACCTGGGTTTTGTTGATGGCGTTGCGTTTGCCTGGGATAAACCCAACACCCCAGCAGCTGAGAGGCTGTTTGTTTGGCTGATAGAACTTCTTTCCACGAAGATCCCAGCGGCCGTTGGTGCCTGGATTGTGGCGTTGGTTGCCTCCAAACTGGATATCAGGATTTGGAAGCAATCGAGCCTTGGTACGGATCATGTTCTCGTCAATTTGGAGTCCGAAAGTCTGTAGAACCGGGTCCTTAGAATAATCCAGCATTCTCTTGGACTTATGGATCGAATTGAGGCGATCAGCTGGGCGTGCTGCAGCATACTTGATCATCTGCGAGGTCTGGTATTCGTTTAGTTTCCAAGGATATTTGTGGAGACCATGGATAGTTAAGTACTCCATGGGGTAGACAATGCCTTTCTTTGTCATTTCAACCATGGGAAGATCCGGGTAAGTGAGTAGAAGGTTGTATTTCTTCTTGAAATATTGCTCAACGGTGATCTTCTCAATAACACCGGTCGCTTTGTCCTTGATTTCGATAATGTACTTGCTAGCACTGGCATTGATGAGGCCCTTAACGGTAAAATTCACATTCGTGCAAGGGCAGCCCCGGTAATGTGCTTGGACCACGAGCTTTTTCAGCCGGCGGTGGACTTCGTAAAATGCGTTCGATTCGGTCGTGCCGCCGTGACCATCTGCGACAGGTCGAAGCTCATGCATGAGATGTTGGTGATCACGACAGTCCAAGATGGCCATAGCAGCACCCAAAAAAGAAGTGCGAGCCCAGAAGCACGTATTTGACACGTCGATGTTGACAATAAGTCCACGATTCTAGATAGCATTGTCAGTCTGAGGAATAGATACAAAGAGAGCGTTGGCTTACAATAGCAGGCCTGATAGCCTCATAGACGCCCTTGAAGGCCAATACACCATTGCCCAAGTCCTTGTGCTCTCCATTTTCATCGAAGAAGGAACGTCGGATTGCCAAAAATCTGCCGCTGGGCCATTCGCGAATGACGTGGTCAAGAAAATCTTTCATGGTAAGTTTATTTTTGAAGACAATCATAATGGTAAGAAGAAGACAGGAGAAAGAAGGCACATACTCAGAGCCTCTAAAACAGATTCAGAAAAAGCAGCACGTCCCTGGAGCCAGGCATTCAAGACGGCGAGGTTGACTGTCTTAGTAGGGCGTACAACCAGACGGAACGCATTAGAAGTTCGACCTCCGGGGCGGCCTTGTTCAGCGTCAAGATCGACCATAATATTGAGCCCGTTCGAGTAGTTATTCATGGACCTGTGAAAGTGAGCAACCCCTCTTTTTATGGGTTGAACAGTACAGGACATACCACGCAAGCTTGCGACCATCGTAGATTATCTGCTTTAAAGCCGTCTTTCTCGCATTGGAATTCCAGACCTTCTTACAGACGATATTTTTCTCATCACCGTTGCCGATGTTGACCTATATTCTGAGTTACTCCATATCTTCCAATGGGGTATCGAATGAAGCTATTGGCTGAGCCAGACAAGATACCATGGTTGCCGGAGACACTCACATCGTATTGGTAGACATTCCTACTGGGGAACTTGGTGATCGGGTATGCGTTCAGGGAAATGTCCACTTCTTTGCCAGTGGTGTTAAAGCCCGGGCGAGGCACAGTTTCAACTGGGACAGAATACTTGACGACTTCGTCAGCTTCACGAACTCGGAGGTGGCGGAGACCGCCGGTAAGTTTATTGACGACTTCGAATTCCTCCATAGCGGAAGAGAAAGCAGACGTATCGCTGGTATGAGACCAGGAGAGCGGCAGTATAAAAGAAACAAAACGAGGCAGCAAGATCCTATAGGGATGGGGCAGATGAGGGAAGGAGAATAAGTTCCATAGGGAGGAAGAGAGGGCTTTTTATAAGGGGAGAGCGCCATCCTGTGAAGCGTTTGCACTTGATTTAGGTGATAGAAGATAAAGCAATGAATGCCGGCTTCCCACATCGATGGATAGCCTTCGGCCTGTGAATCCCTGTAATTCCATGCATGTGCCGTTTGGGTAAACGGGAATAAGCATGGGCCTAGGAGGGAATCCGCACAGTGAAGGGTGGAGAGAATAATAAAAATACCAAAGAAGAACCAAGAACAGGGAATTTATGTGGCACAAAAGAACAAAAAGAAAGAAAAAGAGACAGACGAGTCCAAGGAAATGAGAATAAGAATGGAAGGCGAGAATGCCCAAGGGAATGTAAATCAACACGCTACTTACCAAATGGTTAATCGCGAAAGCTGACAAGGGCAGATCAACGTTTCGGCACACGTCTGTTTTCAGCCTTGGTTTATCCAAAGCTGGATCGCTCAGAGGAGCAGAAGCCATTCTTAGACTGGTAGTCGGGGTTGCGATGCAGGTGGAATGGAATGGATGTTGTCGTCAAATACAGGGTTACAACGGCTTGTAAGACGTTTGTGGTGGACAGACACAAGGATGGAAAATGGCGAGAGGCTAATGAAGATAAGAATGCTAGAGATCTCGGAGGGTGGGTTGGTGATGAAAGGTGATGAGAGGTGTGGTAGGTGAGAAGATGTTGGAGGAAGAAAAGGATGGAGGAAGCTTGATGAAAGAGATGAGACGAGGAAGGTGAGGAAGGTGAGATGTTGCAAAAGAAACACAACAGGGCAGGTGAGGTGTAGTTGATTGGGTCAGGGGGTTGCCCAGGGCGATGATCATGAGAGTTGCTTGAGCAGCAGGTGCGTATAGAGCTGAACGTGGAAGGGAAGAGTCAACAGAAGTTGACAATGGTTGACCAGGTCTCTTGCTGGAAATCCCGTCACGGTCAGTGTCACGTTTGCAATGCTTGCCTCTTTCGGACTGTTCTATACTTGACATCTCTCAGCCACCGCACGTTGTGTAGATAGATGGTGCTCACCAGGGAAAATAGAGTAGGTCGAGGCCGAGATACACATGTTCTGGAACGCAAGGTATTAATAGAAAAAGGTTGTGGAGCGGCAGGAGATCAGTTTGGGCATGAGCACCGCTGGCAATATCATGTTCTCATCCCGTCTCTGACGCTGTGGCACACTTGCATAGATGCTTATTGAAGGAACGATCTGGAGGATACATCGCACCACGCCTTTTACTCAGATGGAGAACGTCGTCGCTTTAAGAATACGTTAAATACCATTGTTAAAGTAGAAGAAAGATATTGCAGACTCGAGAGGTATCCTGAGAATCGCACAATCCGTGCCATAGAAAGAAGCAAAATTTCCCCTTCGTCAACCCACCACAACTTCCTAGTGACCCGTTCCATATTGGAGACCAAGAGATATAAAGAAAAACTGTACAAACCCGACCTGCAATGGATAACATACCCTACCCAAAAGAAAGTCACCGAGTGATATTTGCTTGTTGACCCCAGCTGATAGGGGGGTTTCGTGACAATTTGCCAAACCAAACTTTAACGCCGTTCGTCAAATGTAAGCAACGTTGAAAATGACTACAGATCTAAGACACGCCAGGCCGATGCGAGACACCAGGCAATGTGAACCCAAGATATTCAGATATTGCGCATTATCATCAAGCAATAGTAGGAGTCATGCCTCTATGCGTTGGTATATTACTGTGGGCGATAGACACCTGTGCGAAACGGTAAGCATTACTTGCACAAAAGGTGGGGCTCCAAAGAGATTCTAGAGAATTGGAAGCGTACCAGGAAAACCAAGCCCGCGCACAGATGATGGAAGTGGAATCTGTGAGATGGAGGTGGGCATATCAATTCTTCGGATAAGCTCAACCAGCTTTTCCGGTGAGAACCGACCAGCGTTGTAGGATGACGCCGAGGGAATGATGCTCAAGAGATAAACAATGTCTCGAGGTAATGGAGCAGGTGAACCTTGTGACCGAAATTGAGATCCACTCTGGCTGCTGATGACTTGTTGAGCACGTTTTGGCGGATCCAACTGTCGCCTCTGGGTTGTTTTCAAGGGGGAGTCGGCTCGAATAAACTTGCGTGGTCGATTCGTATCGTCATCAAAGTCTTCTAATGGTCTTTTCGGTGAGTTGGTCACTGATGCATCCGGATACCTCGAAGATGGAGTGCCATGACGAGACACGGGTTGTTCCGTAGGGAATGCTGTCTTGGGCCTTGTTTGGGAGGGAGAGATGATCGGCCGCACCGCGGTAGGGTCGAAAGCAGGGCTAGAGTATCGATGGGCGAACTGTTCTAACGTCGGGTCTTCAGGGAACAGTTCACGCATGCGATTCTCCAGATTTATGACTTGTACTAAATCTCCATATCGAGACTCGTATTCATGAAGGAAGGCAAAGATGGGTTTGGTCTTGAGCACATTTTCTGGGTTAGATGCCAGCTTTCTTACCGTCATCTCGAAGACTGCACGAGCGTCTGGAAAGGGGATGTCAGCTTCCACCTTAAAAAAATCGAGTTGGGATCCGGGGACCTACTGATGACATCATTAATATCAATCAAGTGCTTCAAGTATTCGAGTGCGAAATTCTCATCCTCGGGGAATAGCTTAGCACCCCGTTCAAAGATCTTTGTTGCAGCAGGGTCTTTATAGCAATGATATTCGATGAGTGCACTTGCAATGTAGACATCACTAGTGATACGTCCTCGTTTGCGGGCGTCCGCAAACACTTGTCTTGAGCCAGGCATTTCGCCAGGTTTACCCTTGCCTTGTATGCGGCGCATTGCGCGCATTAGAGCAATCCATGCGAACGAGACCGTTTTAGAAAGGATGCCGATTTGGATTGCATGCGCATTGCGCAGGGCTTCGATCTGGGCGTTCTTCATCGACTCTCTTGCCTTCGAGTCACCTTGATCGTCATCGTCATCGTCTGTCTTGGACGGCTGAGTATCCGGGTTCATTTTCGCGAAAGTTTCCTCGAGTCGTGCAACATCTTGAGATTCTCGAGTGCGTGCTTTTGCGATTAAGTCGTAAAGCGCATTAAGCAGCTTGTCATAAGGTTCTCTAACCTTGGCACCTCGCTTTATTGGATCTTGTTCGGACTCCGAAGTGATTTCCAGTCGGTCGGCACGCTTGAACGCAAGAAGACAACTCTCCGGGTTAGCTTCTATGCCGTTCTTTAAGAATTCATTCCCCTCGTTCTCCATGTCGTTTAGGAAGCAGAATTCAGCAGCTTCAAACCATATCTCTGGTAAGAACCTAAGAGCCATGAGAGCTTGCTTATACACATAAATTACACGAGCTTTGAAAGCGGCCTGATCTTCCTCTTTTAGAACAAGTGGGTCTCCTTTCTCCCATTTGATCCAGCGCTTCCAGATATCAACCTGTTGTCCGAATTCAATGTCACCATCAGAGCCTAGAACAGGGGGTAGCCTGGGTAAAGTTGTCCGGTTCAGGTCCCTTGTGATGTTTTGCAGTTCTGTGTAAGAGCTGCGAGCGGTCATGTACGAGGGTGACTGCTCCTGAAGAAACTTCCGTCCCTGTACATAAGCATAGCAACATTAGCGTGGGCACGCAACTGCAGGTAAGCAGGGCATAAATTACCGTGAGTTTGTTTAGACCCATTTCAAACTGGTCGTATTCTTTCCAAAGATTATTGACAGCTTGAGTGGGAACGCAGATAGCTTTCTGATAAGCTTTGCGCAGCAAATCCATTTTTTGCTGGTCCTGCCACCCAGAACCGCCGACATTCCCCGGACCAGAGCGAATGAACTGGACATAATCTGTCCATATAGACCCGGAATCCTTATCTACACCGACATACTGCAGTGCTAAATCATAGGCGGACGAAATAATCCTCCTTGATTGGCCAGTAGTATCAGTTGTCAAAGGGTTACGACGGCGAACGTAGTCGAGATATACAGTCCAAAGCTGGACGTCGGGAATAGTCAAGAGAGTCCTATTAAATATCTGTTCGAGGCGATATAACTCGTTGAGTTCAGACTCCATGGTTGCATATGCCACCCACTGTTCGGCCTAAGAAGGGTCAGTCCTTGCCTTCTCCCAAGGCGATGCATGAGATACTTACAGAAAAGGGGAACGCCGTCAGGAAACGCTCGTATACTTCACGCGCACTGTCGATTCTATTGCGGCTTCTGTGTTCATTGATCAACTCGAGCCATGCCGGGATGTCACCACGTGGGTCTTCTTGTATTCTGTCCTCCAAGATACCAACGCGATCATGAGGCAACCGACCCTTGGCGGTCGACGGAGAATCAGGAGCGGGTGTAGCTGCAGCGCTATCTTGCATATTTTCAGACTGTAAAGTACGTGAGTTGTACATATCCTGGCTCAAAAGCGCAGGTGTATCGCTTTTAGAAGCAGCAGCAGAAACAGGGGTATAAGAGCTATTGGGAAAATTCTTTGCGTTGGCAGATGCCTGCACAGCACCGTCCATTGATACATCAGGGGTAGGAGTATCTTCATTTGCATTTCCTGAAATGGGTTGCTGAGGCACATTCATAGATATAGTATTCATGTCCTCGACACCTAGTACAGCTGGCGGTTCATAATCCGCATCACCCGCGTCATCCTCATCTTCGTCCTCAACCACAAAGCCCCCAATTGTCCTCGTCTTCAATGGCACAGGAGTACCCGACGCAGGTGCCGACGCTGATGCCTGGGAGTCAGCTCGGGATGGTGTCTGGGAAGGGTAGGCATTGTCCGCGGGCTGGCTGGGATCCGTTTCAGGGGGAATAGACTGTGTAGGGGGGGTTGGGTCTGAAGGAGAAGCACTTGAAGGTGCGATTTCACTTTGCTTAGAATCAGGAACGGAAGCTGAATATTGATCTTGAAGTGTTTTCGAAGGATCATAATCATCTGAATCTGAACTAGCGCCCTGATCTTCAACAGCCTTATAGTCCACGGAGTCCGCATTCATTGCCTGGGCCTGGAAAAAGGCCTTCTCAGCATCATCTTCAGCCATGACAAAAGCGTTTTCTGGGTCCCAATCAAGGTGTCGTGAAAAGAAAATCTGCGTGATCGGATCTGGTTAGCGACTGACTCTGCAGAGGGGGGGGGAAATGGACGATCCGATTTTTCTGCTACCCAAGCAACGTACAAGGAATATTAAGACCCCTAGTCTGTGAGAGGAGAAGCCAGAAGGCGCCCAATCACTCTTGGGAGGTATCCGCCTCAAACAGAATCCGGGGTAAAATAAGATTTAGTAGGTCAATGGAATGCCAGTGATAGATGATGCCGTCTCACAAGCTTGTGGCTGAAGCTGCAGCTGTCACGCAGAACCGTCTCACGTGATGAAGGCGGTGGGCGCGAGAATGCGCCCAACCGACGCGGCGCGTCGTCGATCCTTCTTTAGGGTCGAACTGGTTTAATTAGTACTTACTCGCTGCGTCCCTCCCCTCAATTGAAGTCTCCAGTTTCTCCGTCCTCCCTCCCTCCTTCTTCGTTTGACTTTGACCTTGTTTTTCAAGTGTCTTCTACTGTCTTGTTGGCCACACCTCCCATCCTTCGCAAAATTTCCATCTCACCTTGCCCTACAATTAACGCCAGCCGTTTACCGCCATGTCCGTTGTTTCTCTCCTTGGGGTTAAGATCCAGAACAACCCCGCCCCTTTCCTCGCTCCCTATCAATTCGAAATCACTTTCGAATGTCTTGAGCAGCTGCAAAAAGGTATTACGTAGAATATCGTCCCCGCGGCAATACTTGGCTAACCAGATGCTAGACTTGGAATGGAAGCTCACTTACGTCGGTTCCGCGACATCGTAAGCGAGGCTCGAAATGGCACTTTCGACAGACATGTTTTTAACTAACTGGAATAGGTCCGAATATGATCAAGAACTTGACTCTCTTTTCGTCGGTCCCATCCCCGTTGGCGTAAACAAGTTCATCTTTGAAGCCGAAGCACCGGACCTTAAGCGGATTCCTACATCCGAAATCCTTGGCGTCACTGTGATTCTTCTCACCTGTAGCTATGATGGTAGAGAATTCGTCCGTGTTGGTTACTATGTGAACAATGAATACGACTCGGAGGATCTCAGCGCAGAGCCTCCTGCAAAGCCAATCATCGAGCGGATCCGTCGAAACATCCTTGCGGAGAAGCCAAGAGTGACTAGATTCGCAATCAAATGGTACAGTGCTTGATGATCGTCATTCGAGTACTAATTGTGGCTAACATTCACTTCTTTTCATCAGGGACTCGGAAGAATCTGCACCAGCCGAATATCCCCCAGATCAGCCAGAAGCTGATATTCTGGAAGATGACAGCGGTGCCTATGGTGCTGAAGAGGCGGAGCTTGAAGCCGCCCTAGTAAGAGAACTTGCGGATGCAGAGAGAGATGTGAAGGGTGAAGATCATGAGATGGAGGGCGCCGAGCCCGCTATCAAGGAGGAAGAAGAAGAAGACATCTCCGATGCTGAGAGTGAAGATATCGAAGATGAAAGCGATGATGATGAAGAGGATCTCGACGAAGAAGAGGCCGGTGATGGTGATGAGGATGTCGAGATGGGTGACGACTCCGAACAGAAAGATGATGGTCCCAAGGCTGATT